GGAGCCAGGCGCCCGCCTGCCTCTAAATCTCTTCCGACTGTGCATATCAATAGCATTTCACTGTCTTCCTTACAGAATATATGCACTACTTGATTATCTAATGGTGTCATCTGCTATTCATGATGCATCCTTACCAAGAATTGAATTGAGTAAAATACAACAAGTCTATGACATGATCAAATTTTGCAATAATTCTTCTCATTTGATTCAGTGTATGCGCCCTATTTTGTGCGGCATGCTTGTCTGCAGAAAACTCTCATTAGCTGGATGTCTGTGCATGGCTCAAAGTTTAGTTTCAGCAAATACAGAGTTCCAGCTTTCTGAAAATCTCAGAGTGACACAAATCACTGACTAATCCAATCCATCCACCCGCCCAGTGTTTAAACAGCATGAACAGAAACACATTTGACATGATAAACTGTCTACTTTTCCTCTGTCGAGCATACATTAAGACACATCTGCTTCAACTTTACCCAGCATCCTCTCAGCCACGTGGAGTCTGCAGGAGCAGCATATGTGTAATGTGTTGATACTGACCTTGGCGGTAAGGCTGTTGATCTCGGCTGCCTCACTCTTATCGCATGATAACGATTCCTCTCACACTACTCTCAGACAGACAGATGCTTATTTTTCATGCTTTCAGTTACTCTATTGATCCTGTGTGCTCCCTCAGTGTCAAAAGCTCAGACATCAAGAAAAAAACTATTGTTTGTTTTCAGACCATTCACTGAAACATGCTACCCCATCTGTTTCAAAGCCTCTTGTCTGTCTTTTTTTCAGAGTAAAGTAATAAACCAGAGGTTGTTGCTTGATCCAAAGCAGGTTGGGTTTACTTTCAGCCAGTGGGAACAGGAAGTTCATACTCATAAATAGTAAGCAGCCTCTATAAATAGGGCCTGCATGGATTTATGTCCACAAATAAATGGTTTTATGTCCCCAGATCCCTTTCATGACAAAAGTCACATGATCTGCTAATGCCAGTTCAGTGCAGGGCTTAATCACACCTGCAAGAGTGTGCATATGTGTGCGCACATGCTGTGTGAGTTAGCTGAAGAGAGGGTGGGTTCATCTCCTGGGTAGGAAATGTTGGCTGGTGGTGATTTCGTTAGCAGCGGTGGAATGATCTAGATAATATACTTATCCACGGCTCCTCTGGGGGAAGGCGAGCCTCCGCCATCTGATTAGATTCCACCAAGATAAAAGGATCATGACGAGTCACATGTCTAGTTTATTATGGGGTGACATTGGGAGTCTGTCCCATGAATCAACATCAGATAATAAAGTGATGACTTTCTGTGTTTAATCTCCAGTCAAGAAGAACTGATTTGTTTAACGCACGCATTTTTATCTTGAGTAACTGGGCTGGAAATAAGGTGAGTTTTATTTTCGTCATGTGCTCATCTCAGATCACTTCTTGTTCTTCATTTTTCCACCAACAACTAGGAAATAACTGATTCTCACTGGTGTTAATATTTTTTTTTTTATCTGTTTATGGTAGGAGCATCAAGGCATGTGGCAATGTGAATTTGGGAGAGACCTAAAATTTCCATTCCAATAAATTGCCATGTGAATTAATAATACATAAATAACAATTACCAACGATAATTATTACTTACAACTTAATGTATTTGTGTATAGTTTAAAGGACATTTTTAAAAAAACAGGCTTAATAAGTTTCTTTCCAAGAGTTATTTGACAAGATTGAGTATGTACTGTAAAAATGAAGCTCAGTGGCACATTATCCCCCGTAAAACCACAATGTGTAAGATGTAAGCCATATGAACATTTGTTTTCTTTGGCCTTACCTTTAAGTTACATATGGACAGAGCCAGGCTAGCTGTTTCCCGCTGTTTCCAGTTTTTGTGCTAAGTTATTCTAACCTGCTGCCGGCAGTTGCTTCATGTTTAGCATACAATCATGAAAGTGGTATTGATCGTCATAGCTAACTCTTGGCAAGAACGCAAAGAATTATATTTACCAAAATGTAGAACCATTACTATCCATTGTTAAATGGATTTCATCCACAGACATCCAAATATAAAAGATAAATATAAAATATGCTGGTTTACAGCTCCATCTTTTACAAGACACACTATTCAAGGATTTTTTATAACCATGAAACTGTGCGGTGACCCACCAGGGTCACACATTTCCCTGTACGTTTTGTTGCAGACAAGAAAAGAGAGACAGACAAAAGCCATTTTTCAGTGAACATCTTTATTTGTTGCAGTGGAACTATGCTCTGGAAAAAACAATACCTTCAGTGGCACAATGACATATTTGTAGCTACAGAGCTTTACTGCTTGTTGCAAGACAGATAGACAGGGCTGTGTTACATTTACAGTCCACACTGGTGCTAGAAAGCCTTATTTAAAGAGATTGTGGGAGAGATTTAAGATCTCTTCGTTTTGCAGGCAGAAAGTGATATATTACAGCCTATTGTCATCATATAGTTTCTTCTGCAGAAATCCAAGATATTGTTATAAATGTAAATGGTCTGAGTAGGAACACATTATATCACTGTCGGAAATTTAGAAGAAGAGTGTGGCAGTGAGTCTATGGAGCTGTGTAATCTGAGCATGAAAAGACTACAATGCTACAGAATAAAGATGAATGAATATCTTCATCTAGCATCCACAAGCTCTTTGATCTTCAGAGAGGTGGCATTACAAACTGACATACAGCAGCTGTTTCCTCTCCTGTGCGGATTAATGCTGATTAATTTGTTCATCCCTCCCTCACGTCATCTCTGTCTTTGCTCTTTTTTTCTCATTCCCCCAAAACAACATTTAAGATGCTCTCCTTGGCTAACTGAGCATAAATAAGTAAAATGGTGTGAAAAAGCAAGACATGAGCAGACATATTTAACCACCTCCCCAAAAGAATATAAAACGTGTGTTGCCTATCCCTCTAAAATGAGTGAATATTACTGTATTAATATGGATCAAACAATAATAATAAACAATTTTAGAGAAGGCAACATATTGTCTTGAATAACCAAACAGAGACAAAACGTGAGAGGACTTAAAGAATTCAAAAATGGCTGCCAGACAGAACCAGAGATGGGAACAGAATATAACATTTTTGATGCATACTTTTATAAAGGCAGTGATACAAGCTGAAGGGGGTTTGCGTGTCTCACTAATAGTCTGTGACGTCCAAGAAATCACTAGTTTTCAAATGCCTCAGAGAGCCTTACCATCTTCCACTGGCTTTTCTTCCATCAGGCTTTAATTACTACGCCAAAGGACTCCTCTGTAGTCTCAATTCTGAAACTTGTTTTTCTCACAGTCTTTACAGTGCTTGTTCTTCAGGGCTCCATGGGGATCCCATGTGCGGGAGAGGGTGCTAGGAGCAGAATGGAACCTGGCTCTACCCTCTTTCCCACATCCATCTCCTCCACACTCTGCAGGATCTGCGCATGTATCCAGTGACAATCAAACACACTCACTGTGATTTGATTTTAAATATGGGCTTTCCACACACTTTAACACAACCTTGGGCAATGTTGGAAAAGCCAGATGATTACTTGCTGTCACTCTATCGAGTCATGTGTAATGGAGAAATGGAGAAATTGGCAACACCACTGAATTGGTAATTTGTTCTTACCGCTATCATTACATCTGCAGCAGCTGCTGAGATCATTTCTCCTCGAAGCCTCCAGGATTTCACTGGCCGGAAATCTCCCTTTCAAACTCCACCGCAGCAGGATAAAACTCAATAACTGGAACAGATCTACTCTTCAGACCCAACACACCAACTAAGTGTTGTTTTTGTCACACACCCACACACACACACACACACACATTCCTTGTTTATCCTGTTGAATCATACCACTGTCAGAGAGACAGATGATGTCTGTAACACCCAAAGATGATGCTTTTCAGTTCAATTCCCCTCTCAGTTAGGTTTCAGTAGATAGATGAAGCACCTTGTGAAAGATAATTAGTCTTATGCACCTCTTCTTCCAACACACAGCGTTGTTCTTCTTCTTCTTTTGCATTTTGATGATATGATGGTTAAATATGTTTGGGACTTAGGCCTTTTGTGTAGTACCACACCTTGCACCAACTTAGTAGCAGCAATCATGGAACTAATGTCCTTAAGAGCTGTCTAGCTGTGACAAAAATGAAAAATGTGATTTTTTCAGATGTATAATCTGTCTTTTTCTTCTTGCACCTGAGTGCAGACAAGCTTTGATGAGAAACCATGTATTACCTGTTGTCATTAAATCTGCAGTAGCCGTTTGTTAGTCAGAGCTCTTGAAAGAATCTACAATGCCTTTTACACAAACTATTTATCATTTATTTAAATGCAAGTTGAAATGTTTTCTTTAATAATGAATTTGTTCTTCACATTTGAGTGCATTGGGATGTGCAGTGAATGCAATTCAGTGAACATTAGAAGTACAGAATATGCTAAAAAAAAAACATGACACACACACACACATTTCACATTGTCTGGTGGAGGCCTCAGATTGTTGTTCTATTAAAAAACAGGAGCCCCCTGGTGCATCACCACCAACACACTGGCAGTAGCATCAACACAAAGCGTTAAGGAAGAAAGCTCACAGTGTCCTACATTGTAGCAGCTCCCATAATCCGTATGGGCAGATTTTGTCATTCCCACCTGGACGTCTGCCAGTCTAGAGGATTTCTCCACTGTTGACAACATCACATTGCCCAGATGAGAGGATGTATCCTTCCATGTGCATTGTGGCTAGTCCTACAAATGATATGGCTATACCACCTGGACAAACATACACATACATGACCAGAAATGTCAAAATAGTAAGCTTTGTTAAACTCCATCAAAGTATGGTTTTCTTATTAAGAAACATAAATGAAGAACAGTGCATGACCTTAGCAGGGTTACACTCCACCCTGACATCATCACTAATGCAGTGTAATTATATTTTAATCAAACATGCTTCAACTGTTCAAACAGCTGTTTAGATATTCTGTCACATTATTGAGTTGCCGCTTTTATTGCCACACCTCTGGAACTTGTTCACTCTTTTATTGGGTGCAAAAGGACATTCAACCACATGGCAGAAACTTCAATGGGCACTGCACACCAAAGTGACTTTGAAACAATGATAGCAAACACATTTTTTTTCTTTTTCTGTGTCTCTCATCGTCTGTGCTGCTAGTGCTTTAAAAGCTGAAGAAAAGTTTGAATTGTCCACAGGCAAAAGCACATATGGTTCTCACAAAAGGCCATTCACCATATAAACAAAGCATTTCAAAGTACTTCCTTTTTTTTTACATAATGTGCTGCTAATGGACAAAAATCATGAGCAGAAAACACAAGAAAAAAAACACTTTCTACAGGATAGACGTCTTTTGATTTTACATTGAAACATTGTTAACAAAGACACTGAAAAAGAGGATTATATGTTGGTGACATATCCAACAAGTCCTTACAATGTTAACTTTTATAACATTCTGCGCTGTCCAGTAACCTACTGCATTATATCTGCATCTATTTTTTTCTATTCTATATTCAACTGCATTGTTTTCCTAACATGGACAGAAGCTTTTTAATGGCTTTTGTACTAGTGTCTACTCAGTAAGGAAATTCCACAAGGAGGAAAAAAAGAAACTCTGGAGGTTGATGCCAAAGTTAATGTCTTTGTTGCCTCTTTGACATTGTTTCCTTGTAAGGCTCCAGCACCAGGTTAGATACCAGTATTTTACTGTTTATCAAAAACAAACAGCAATGAAATAAATTTCCACCACAACATTAAGGACTAACATAAATTAAGCTGCAAAAAGCGTCAGTTGCATTCACTAAGCGGTGCCAAAATCCATTGATCCCCTAAATTAAAAAATATATATATTATGTCCATGGAGCAAAACTATTTTTCTTGTTTAGTGAGAGGCAATTAAAACCAAAGTCTATCTGACAGCGGCATTCACAGTGTCCAGAGAGTGCTGCTCTCATTTGACATCCCCTCTACTTCTGAAAATTTTATCGATTATGACACACTTAGCTTTGAAAAACACCAGCGGACCAGTGGCTTCTCGCCGCCACACTCATTAATGAACACAGATAATTACTACCCAGATAAGGAATTAAGGATCGTCCTTGAAGGTCAAGCCCAGCCCCTGCCCATCACTGGGCACGCGCAGCTCTGTTGAGACGCCAGTCTTGAGCAGCTGTCCAACATCTCTATTAACCTGAGCAGAGCCAGTCCATCCATAAAGCTGTTTGGGATATGGCAGCTGCTCAAGGGGCAGAGAGGTATTAAGCATAGATTTACAAGAATGAAAATGTCCTCCCTCCCTCATAATCTCTGGTCTTTTTACACGCAAGACAAACCATACGCGCATGAACACACACACACACACACACACAGTCTTATGTAATGTTGTCAGCACGCTGCATTGGCTTGTTTGGACGCACCACATACACTCTGCGTATTGACAGAAAGCATGCACTGTCACTTCTGAACTGACTTCCACTCACTGCTCAGACTCATGCATAATATTTAGACCTTCTGCCACAATGGGACGTATTAAAATTATCAACAGCGAGGGTTTTTCCTTTATTGTGTGCTCATGAGCATCCACTTCATTTCACTGTGCTCCTCGCTCGGCGCCTCATTGCTCTTCAAACAGCGAGGAGGCTCGCAGCATGTAGTACTCTACCATGTAACTCAGGAATAGTGTTCCATAGCACATCAAAGCCTGTTTGAGCTCACATTCACCACGAATACAGTACAGCATTGTCAGTATAAGGAATGCAACCAAAAAGAGCTTTTATCAAGAGGAGTCAAGTGAAAGCTGATCTACTGAAGAGAAAACACAGAATGACAGTAGGTCATATCATTACAGTAGACTGATGCAACAGCATATCTTCTTCACATGAGCAGACTTATTTGAAGTCTCCTGTAATCTCCTCAGGGTTTAAATTGAGTGGACACATCAACATGTGAATCTGAGTGCAATAAACACTGAGTCTTTGCGCAGTCAGAGCATATAAATATGTAAAAATGTTGCACTGATACCCTTTCCTTCGGGATTTGACTGAGGCATCAAACAGTCCAAATACATAGCTGCTCAATCCTGGTGGCTAGTATACTGGATTTCCTCACATCAGATCCTTTAGGAATCAAAAGCGCGATCTTCACAGATCTCCAGAGCAGTTTTACTCGCACCACCAAACACTTCCACATTAGCGTCAATCCAAGGGACCACGTTGCCCGGCATGTAAGCCGAGCAGTTGGCCAGACCCATGATGTCCACAGGCCGCAGTACTCGGTCCCACATGTTGAACTGGCTCAGCTCGCCCACAAAAGCCTGCGTGGCGTCAAAGCGGCCTCCGACTATGTCCTTCATGGAGAAACAGAAGAGGAAAGTTTGTTGGAGTTAACTTGTGAAGGAGATGTAAACATACTCTATTTAAAATGAATCAATTCTGTTTGATTTTCATCAAACTGCCAAACGACTGAATATTTTTCAGTGTGCTGCCTCTTTAAAATATCTTTTGAGTTGTGAAATCTCCAATACCATGCAACAAGCAGCAATCTCACCTTGTGTGAATGACTGAAACATAAAACAGCACAGCCCTCCTTTGGCTCCAAACTAATGCAGTATGAGTTAATGGCTCTCTGTGGACACTATTTACACATCACAGTACATTTCATAAGTATATGCATGGTGCTGTCATGGAGCTAAATGCTAGAATAACCTGCTAATGGAACTCCCAAGGGCGTAAAGGTGCAGTTTAGAGATAGACGAATGAGGTAATACTGAAAGGGCCACGATGGCGTGAGAGGAGCCTCTCTGCCTCCTCTCCCCTGCTCCCTGCTCTGTGCCTCCGGCACTTAGCTCAGGGGAGAATACACAAGGATCTTTCTGCCATGCAAGGAAAAACACACACATGCACACACACATGCACGCAAACACCACCACCTAAGCTTCTCACCTGCTCCTGGCCCAGGATGATAACCCCTCCAGGTTTAATTGGGTGCCAGGGGGCCAGGTTGTCCCCTGTGCCTAGACGCTCGCCATCCTGGTAAGCCTCCCAGAAACCGTCTCTAGTTGTCCAGGTGATGCAGATGTGGTGCCAGCGCCCGTCACTCACTGACAGAGGGAGCTGGGCCACCTGGTCAGAAGTTGAGGGCAAAGGGTGAGTGTCACGAGGGGCAGGCCAAAAAGCAAGAAGCAAGGATAGGACGGAGTACAAAGGGGGTGAGATGACTCAGGAGAGGATTGAGATTAATTGCGGCACGTTAGAAACAAGGAGAGCAATTAGAAGGGTTAGGGCTTCAAAGAGACAGCCCTCTACAGAGAATTCTCCAGATGAGCCAGTGCGACATATAAAATTTAGATTACCCAGGTGGCATCAAGGGATAGAACATCCTTCAAAGCAGTCGGCTAGCTAACAGCAAAACAGTGTCCTCTTACGCATTTGTGCTTTGTTCATACATCAAAGAAAAACAATGACATCATAGTCCCCTGAGAATACTAGATAGATACATAAGATTATGAGTGTGTAACTCATTAGCCTTCATCTCATGAGCCTACAGAATGACTTCACACTCATATCTTGTTGCAGATACAACTTCAGATACATGTAAACCTGAAAAGATAGAAGAGCCACTGAAAATAAAATACAAGCAATTACAGAGGCAATTGACCTGGTTGAGGATGCCAGTTGGCATCTTAATGCCACTGGGACTACAGGGAATACCAGTAGAATAACTGATTTGGGTTAGTCTGAGCTTCACCAACTGTTTAAAGATTTAGGATGTTGAAAGGAAAAATAAATTCTTGTCACACGTTCTGCAGCACTTAATACATGACAGCCATGATGATTTGCACACAGTTTCATGTCCACAAAACACCATGTCCACAGGGCATACACTACAATTAATACATGACTCATCTCTATTTTACTTATCACAAAGTACTGGTGTTATAATCAAAACCTCCCAAATCGAGACCAAGTCAAGACCAAAACCAGAGTTTATCGAGACTGAGACAAGACCAGGACTTTTAGGGGCTGAGACCGAGACAAGACCAGTTCCCCACATTACATGACACACAATAAAATGTGGAACGAGATCACAGGTACTTCTCAAATTGATCTGAAAGATCCACATTCCCATTAAAACGCTGAAATCAACGTAAGCACCTTTAGTCAACACTCCTTTTCCACGCTTACCATCGCAGGGATGGGTGACAGCTGTTAAAGGTAACAACACATTTTTAATTAGGGTTCTTGGTTGCATTTGAAGCAATCCGTTTTACATCCAATCAAAGTTAGGATGTTAAGGATAGGATAAATCAGACAATGCAAAAGCAATTTACTGACATTCCCAAAGTTATGGTCTTGACATAAAATTCAGAGTCCTCAAGAATGAGTACAAATGCGGTCGAGTCCGAGACGAGACCACGACCACCACAAAGTGGTCTTAAGACTGGTCTCGAGACCAAGACCGGTCTCGAGTACTACAACACTACAAAGGACATATTGTTCTTCAGCTTCAAAATGCTGCAGACTCTCGAGATAAGTGAAAAATGTTTTTGGAAGGTCACATAAGAAGAAACAAAGTCAGTGTAGCATCTGCTTCCAAGCAAGAATGATAAAAGTTGTAAAGAATTAGCTCACATGCATGATGTCAACGCCAAATTGACATCATACATGTGAGCTAACACCAAACTTGTGAGCATTGGATTACACAAGCACACATGCGAAAATACTGCGATGGACTGGCGACCTGTCCAGTGTGTACCCCGCCTTTCGCCCGATGTCAGCTGGGATTGGCTCCAGCCCCCCGTGACCCTGTACGCAGGATAAGCGGTTGACGATGGATGGATGGACATGCCAAAATAACTCATTTTTTAATGTTGTACAAGACCAGTTGAATCCATTACAGATTAAAGTCCTGGCAGCCACGGAGATGCCGTGAGCATGTTTTACTTGATTTGAACGATGGAGAAAAAAAATCATGCGATATCAATGATTTTCCTGAGCAAACAGACTGACTATCCTGATGAAGACTTTCTAACACTAGCAATCTCAGCACAGCCAACCACAAATGCAAAACGCAGACAACGTTGCACTTTTTAAAACTGTCGAGGCAGCTTTCTGCTTCCCTTTCAGTATGCAGCCAAATTAACAGCATAAACAATGTGACCCACTGGACCCTGTTATCACTGGGAATAAGTTCAACACATGGATGTGCTGCAGCACATATGGTAATCATAGTCACAAGTCTTGTCTCACTCTCCTCCATCTTGCTCACTTTTTCTCTGTTGCTTTCTTACTCCGTTTCTAGCTTCCTTTTTTCCTGGCATCTTCTGATCTTTCGTTCTTTCCCCCTCTCTCTTCTCCGCACTCTGTCACAGCCAAAGCTCTGCAGCTTTTCTATTTCCTAACTCTTGCTCTTTTTCTCTCTCATACTCACCCCTTTCTCCCACCATCTTTCTCTCATCTGTCTGACTTGAACACATGTATAATGCATGGTGAAGGGAAAGCTGGGAGGAGACCTGTCTGTGCCAATAACGTCCAATGTAAACAAGACATTGTTCATATTACTCATCCTTGGAATTTTTGCACAGTCCTTGTTAAATTTCCTGTTCATTTTTAAAAGCATTTCTTTTATTAGTATTATTGTATTATTTTGTATCATTGTACATTTTTGATCTCTTTACTTTTTTATATTTACATTTCTATATTTGTGTTCATGTGTACCAATGTAAGAACCAATTCATACCTCGTATGTGAAAATGTACCTGGCAATAAACCTCATTCTGATTCTGATTCTAACATTCGGGGTGGGGTGGTTGTGTGATCCTCTCCAGTGCGACAACATTTTGCCAAAAAACATCCACCAAATCCAACATTACAGTGCTGCAGAAGCAACTGTGCCATCAGGAAATGAAAATTCTACAGCTTACATTGACGTAACAGTTACAATTATTTTCCTTGTAAGACTATTGCTATAAAACATTCACATATGTTTCTACCACTCTTTTTTTCTGTTGAGTTAAGTGACATCCTGTAAGTTGACTGAATGTTCACAGCATGTGACTGTGCAGCAACAAAACAGTGTCTATGGAAAGCAAAGAAGCGTAGGCCTTCAAATGAGCACACATGGCAGCTTAATTTCTCTAATGAATTACTGTTATTCTCGGGTCTGTGTACTCTGGAATGTGGGTCAATGATATTAAATGTTTATAAGGTGCTGAATTAAATATTCAGAGCTGATGGTCAGTGAATCTCAGCTGTATCAGTATAGCGCTCACATGTACATACAGCAGCTATCTGCTTGTTTCACACCACAAAACAGACCAACACGAACATATTCATGCGTTCTTTGCATTTAACTAGCGTCATTGCTGAGCTACGTTTACCACCATCATTGTTGCCAGGCAAATAATAAATGATCCTGAGCTTTTACTCAAGTGCATCTTCCTTCTTCATCAACTCAAGGCAGAGCGAGAGAATCAGAGTTGCTCTTCTTTCTATCAATAAATAATTAAGCAAGGCTCCAGCTTCTCATTAAGGACTTACCTTATCATTAACTAGTAGTTCAATGGGATTGTTCCCCCATTCGATGAGGACTATCTCGTTGGCCTGGCCGGGCACACCGTAAGAGAACGGGGTTCCTATGCCGGGACTGGCGCTGGACTTGAGCCACATGCACACAGTGAAGGCGTACATTTCTGGGAGACTCTTTTTGATGCGTCCATACAGGTAGTTCGTACGAAGAGGGAGGGACACCTTGAAATCCTCGGGTGACTTGAAGGCATTATTACCTGTTGACAGATAATGAGGACATAGGGTTAAAATGTTCTTCTTGTGTATCGTCTTCATCTTCTGATGATGATGTTGAAGCTTGTAGTAGGAAGTGTTTGACTCGTGGTGACACAAACAGATACATGGATGGGCAGTTACATTTAACATAACTATCTCCCTGCTCAGGGCTTACAATAAAGAATACCGGGAAGTAAGAAGCTTGTTGGCCAGCAAAGTAAACATAAAGCAAAGCAAAATTTGACTAGAGTGATGGTAAAGGCTGGCCAGCTGCTTCTAATATCACATCAGTGAAAAAACAGGTGCCTTTTAGCTGGCTAATTTATCATTGGTTTTGTTTGAGGAAAAGCCTGAGAATCACAAAAGTCAGAAGAATTGATCTTCTGGGGAACTATATGGCAAACGGCACGGCAATCCATTCAATAGTTGTTGAAATATTTCAGTCTAGACTCATCACAGCTCCTAAATGATGTGAGGATGTGAGAACTGAGAAACGGGAGAGAAAGTGGTTAGACTGGCTTACATACGTATGAGCATGTGATTGGATTAGAGAGGCACAGGTGGATGAAATTGGATGAGGCGCAAGTCCATACTCCATAAATGGAGTAAACATGGATGCTATGAAGATCATGAATGATCATGACAGAATGACAGACACAGAGAGAAACTGACACACATACGCATACTGTATGTCTTTGCAGTGGGTTTGCACCAAGGAAATATATTGCATATTTTAAAGGGAGTGAACCACACTTTCATCTGTGCTGAGCAGAGCATTTGAGGCTGAGCTACTGTTCAAAACTTCAATTTCTCTGGCTATGCGTTGCAGCTGCAACACTGAATGAAAGATTTACATTAGAGGCTCATGTTGGAAGCAGGGTTTGTCCATGCACAGTCAAACCACTTTTCGCAGAACTCCACACAAAGGAAGAGAAAGGAAGAGCATCATGTCATGCCACTACCTCTGAGCTCCTCATTCATACTGCTCCTCCAAAAGCTCAAGCTTCTGAGGATCATGGGGTGCTGGACTTTATCCCAGTATTCTTTATTGTATGCCCAGAGCAAGGAGATAACTAGGACATGTTATAAATTCATTGTAGGGCTATCATTGGTAGAAAAAGCCTCACATTTCCAGCTGACAAAACAACACCATCAACTCCAGCCTCAAAAGTGACTGTAGAATTGAATCAACTCCTCTCTGGCACCACCATGATGTAAATGAAACTTAATAATGCTCACAAAGGTAGTATTTATTATGGCTCTATTGTGTTGACTAATTATTTTGAACATGTGTGTATGCCTACTGTAAATCTGAGCAATTAACTTTGATTAAACTTTGTATCCTCAAACACCCACTGACTGAATCGACGGTGCCTTGGGAGACATGTGCCTACAGGAAGTGTCCAGTGAGAAGTGAGATAATCTTCTAAAATATTTTTCCTTTTGGCAGAGATATATTTGTGTGTATGTTTGACGTCTACCATCAAAGTGATACCCCGGAGTGTGGACATCCCTCCAATATTTCTTAAACTAATTAAGCATTCAGTGTTGCTTTCCAAGCCTTATTTCCAAGACCAGGAGCTGCTCCGAGAATGGCTCTGAGAACAAACTATGTTGTGAGGTTTTTACTTGCATCATCAGAAATTTGCACAGGGATTGACTAATTAGTGTTAAATCTGGCAAAAAAAACAAAACAACAAAAAGCCGACATTCCACAGCACCCTTTGTTTAAACACTTACTTTTCTCAAGCTCGGTGATCCTCTCCAGGAGGGAATTGAGAGTGCTCTCGGTACGTTGGCGGTGGGCCGCTGTTTCATTGTAGAGCTGGCTCTTCTCCTCCTCCAGCTCAGCCACCTTCCGGAGGAGCTGGGTCTCCAGCGCCCCCAGACGCTGTCGCAGCAGCTCCCGCAGCTCTGGTGGCAGGGGAGTCAGTGCCGAGACACCTCCAGCTGACACATTTGTGCTGGGGAGCCGCAAACTCTGCTGCTGGGAGGCAGAGTGGGAAAGATTGCAGGGAACAGCAGAAACCAGGATAGATAGATAGATAGATAGATAGATAGTGTTGGGGCAGATAGAAGTGAAACATACAAACAATGACAAAGACATTAATCCAGTTAATCCTGTGCACTCAAACAGGCATTCATTCCCCATAAAGACCTAGATTTGCAGTAGATGACTGATCTTATCTGCATTTTAGGTCTGATATCCTTTTATCTCCATTGTTTTTGATACAGCGATATCAAAATGAAGACAGCGTGTCCCTGTGGCGGACTTTGATTGGTGACCTGCCAACACCCATGGCTGCTCCGGGTATTAAAAATAGGCCTTATGTGTGACGCTACCCAGAGTTCACACCGGGCGTGCTCGCACAATTACACAGGCCCACGCTTGTAGTTGGTGCTATCACATTGCAGCAAAAATGCCCGCAGATGTTCATTTCTAAAGCCGTGTTGATGTTGTTTGACTTTGTGACACAGAGTTTGAATAATCTTTCCTGACAAAATCCAACCATGTGAAAAAGCTCATGCAAGAGATTCCCTGGTAATCTGGCACTGAAGCAATTGCAAGGTCCTGAATGCAGCTGTAGAGGTATGCTGATGGCTTTGCTTAGTGAGAGAGGTCCTGCTCCAGGGAGCCATATGCCATCAGCCATACCAGTCTTGCAATAATCATTTTGTTAAGCAGATGCAGATCAAAAGATATGTGATTAAAATGGAAAATAATATGTATCCTCACATCTCTCTTTGGAGATTGATGTTTCCAATTGAGGAGAGGGGGAGAGGTGAGAAGGGAATAGAGAGATGGATGGATCAGCAATGCAGTACACTGTTTATAAAAATAACTTTTTTAAAATTTAAATAAACAATCACAACATTGTTTATCAGGGCTGTGTCAGATAGTGAAATAAATGTACTACACTGTTGATATGACATAAGAGATAAAGCCCTGACTTACATCAACCTTCCACTGTATATAAAGCACTGCAGGTGACCTCAATATCAGCTGTGATCTCTGAGCCTTGTGGAATAAATGCACACAGCAGGGGGGGGGAGCTCTCCTGGAACTGAACAGAGGGCTGCTTGAGATGCAAAGCTCGCAGGTCAACAGGAATAAGAACGACTGAACATTGAGCGTTTGATGAAAATTAAAATTTCAGTGTTCCGATGCACGTAAACTCTGCGGAAATTAATTTCATCAGCTGCCATGATTAGTTAGTCACATGACAATGTGTCAATAAACGCGCGCGCGCGCGCGCACACTGATGAATTATTTACGGTTGCATTTCAAATCCCTGCACCACATGCATGCATGGTTACCCCTTATGACGATTTTTTTGTTGCTCATGTCTTATTGATGACTCTCATGCAGCTTGTTTCGCCATTAGAGATATCTCTTAATGATCACAAACGTGTTGACTTGACATGCCGATTACGTGACTCTCTGATCTCTGACGATTCTACTGAGAGGTCTCCTGCAGCGCGGAGTAGCCTATAATCAGACGCGTATTAGTCAGGCATATTGCTGGTGATGGGCTATGCTGAAAGACATTGCTAAGGTGCAAGCAGCTCTGATAACAAAACACAATACTGCAGTTGGCTATGTTGATGCTCATTAATGTAAGTGGGCTAATTAATAATGTTTATTTGGCGAGGAAACTAAACAAAAGTCATATTTCTGGCAAGTTTACGCAGGAGCTGCACGTTTGTGCCATCTTACCTCCAAGTTCTCCAGCCGACCCTTGAGACTCTGCATGGTCTTGCCCAGTTGATCTATGGTCTCGCTGGGGTCCCGGGGCAGGTCCCCCATGGTGTTTTTGCCGTACTCCTTCCGCCTGGAGCCCTGACCCCGGGGCTTGCTCTGTGACGACTCGTCGGCTGCCGCCTCGCAGCGCGCCAGCTTGGAGTTGAGCTCCTTGATGGTCCCCTGCTGGCTCACGATGGTCTCCTTCTGCTGCAGGATGGTCTCCCGGAGCTGGATTATCGTGTTCCGTAGCTCGTCCTCCACGGGGCTGCTGCTCTGGACACGGTTCCCAGTAGGACCGTACGCGCAGCCCGGCTCTGCGCCCGGGGGAATTGCGTTACAAACGAAGCGGCTACCTGTAGCATCCTGGCTTCGCACCGTGCATCCACTGACCAGGTACAAAAGTCCCACCACTAAAGTGAACATCGCGACTAGATACACATATAATTCCACGTATTAAAAGAAAACAAAGGCTCTTAAATTACTGACTGAACGTGTGAAAACTACCGTAAAATAATCGAACTTATTTCAATAACTCATTCATTCAAGTGGTTGCGGGCATTTTTCTAGACTTCCAAAGCGTAATGAAAAGACCAAACTTAGAGTGTAACCGTGGGAAAAAAAACATACGAAAATCCGCAATGAAAAAAATATATCAAAATCATACATCCAACAACCACATGGTCCTATTTGAAAAATGAAACTAAATTCTTACTTTCAGCGGGTGGAAACTCGGTAGAATAAAAACCAGAAGCTCCTTTACTGGAAAAAAAAAAGTTGTAAGGATTTGTGGATGTAGAGAAAGAAAGAATATCCACAGAAGGTTGCAGAGAAGTCAGTTTTGCCTGTCTCGCCTCTCCGGTTGGTTGGATTGTCAGTGAGTGGTGCTGAAAAGACAGCGACGCTGCTCAGCCAGATTATTACGGGGATGTGCACTGACGCTTCCGCTCATCATCTGTGCGCTCCGGTTATTCAGCTTCAGCCCACGTCATCACTGAATCCCAGTGGATCCAAGTCATGCTATGTGTTCGTCTCATTGACTTTTGACAACCTACTTAAATGCGCTGAAGCTTAAAGATGTCAAACAGAAACACATTAAGAAACCCATAAGGGGTTTCAGCTGTTGCCTATTTTAGATGTATGGTAGGAGCCATCTAAGGACTGTTTCAGCTCCGTGTAGCTGCTGCAAATAATGTGGCCCTTGTGAATGTAAGCACCAAACAACCCGTGATTTCACAATGTGGTGTTTTGAGTACCGATTGATAACTCAACAGCTGTCTGGATCCTGCATTGGGGAAATGTTGCACTCTCCAAGCCCCGGGGAGTCTGATTCTGTTTGAACTAAAGGTCCCCCCCCCCCTTCCAACAAGGCACACTTGGTCTAAGGTCAAACTTTAATGATTTGTACATCCGCAGTTCAAATGGGAAATTTCATGGTGTGACTTGAATTAAAAACCAGCCACCACATTGCCATCTCTCATTCACACACACTGATCTGTGCATAAAAAGACTTTCATTTGCACCTAGTCTTTGACTTTCAGACATGTTGCTGAGCAGATTGATACAGTGGCAAGAAAAAGTATGTGAACCTTTTGGAATTTTATGGTTTTCTGCATAATTTTGTCCTAAAATGTGATTTGATCTTCATCTAAGTCATCAAGGGTATTGACAAATAAAAACTTGTCTAAAATAAACAAAATAAATTGTGATCGCTCATGTCTTTATTTATCATTCAACATGGCAGTTGAAAAAGTAAGTGAACCCTTATTAATAATTGGTTGACCCCCCAGCAGCACTAACCTCAACCAGGTGCTTCCTGTAACTGGATCAGACCTGCACATCATTCGGGAGGAATTTTATCCCATTCTTCCTGGAAGAACTGCTTTAGCTCTGTCATATTCTTTGGACGTCTCGTGTATTGCTCTCTCAAGTCATTCCATAGTATCTATTGGGTTGAGGTCGGGCTCTGACTTGCCCACTCCAAAAAGCGGATTTTGTTTTTCTGAAGCCAATCTGTTGTCTGTTTTGGGTCGTTGTCCTGTTGCATCACCCAACTTCTACACAGTTTCAGCTGACTTGCAAACATTCTCCCATTATCCTGAATAATTGTCTGAGTTCATCTTCCCCTCAATGATTGCAAGCTGGCCAGGCCCTGATGCAGCAAAGCAGGCCCAAAACATTTTGCCAATACCACTGTGGAGTGTCAATGTGCTCTTTTGCAAGGCATGCAGCAATGTTCTTTTTAGTAAGCAGTGGCGTCCTTCATGGTATCCTGCCGTAGATACCCTGCTTGCTCAATGTTTTACGTATTGAAGACTCACGAACAGAGATGTTAGCCAGTTCCAATGATGCCTTCAAATCTTTGGCATTGTCATTCGGGGTTGTTCTTTACCTCACTGATGAGTCTTTGTTGTGCTCTTGGTGTCATTTTGACTGGGCGCCCACTTCTGGTTAGAGTAGCAACAGTCCCAAAGTGTCTCCACTGGTGAATATCTAAAGTCTTTGAAATCACTTTGTAACCTTTGCCAGTTTCATGTAAATCAACAGTTCTTGATAGTGGCGCCTCTGTAAGCGCTTTTTGGTGAGGAATGACTCACATAAGCGTGTGCTTCTTGTGCAGAGCAAACTCCAAAAGTTTGAGGGGTTTTTACAAGTCCAAGTAGCTGTAGTCCACACCTCCACACTCATTTTCTTAACAAGACTCCAGGTGTGTTAAAACCTGACTCCAATTAGCTTTTTTGAGGTCTTTAACTCAAGGGTTCACATACTTCTTCCACAAGCACTATGAGGTGTTTTTGGTTGTTCTCAATAAAGACAAGAGGGATCAGAATTTATTTTATTCATTTTATTGGTCAGTGCCCTTGACTTAGATGAAGATCACATCACATTTATGACAAATTTATTCAGAAAACCATGAAAATACAAAAGGTTCACATACTTTTTCTTGCCACTATATCTAAACCCACTTTTTGCTGCGAAAATATGATGGTTAATGCTGAATGGCACTGAGGTCATGCTGAATAAAATCATTGGCTCTGACTTTGCTATTTGAATTTCCTGCTAATAAATAATATAAAGCATAAAAGAATGTCTTTCTCTTAAGTGTTAATTCTATAGTCAGTACACTCTGCATTATGGAGGTCTCTCTGTGGCCTAGGTTGATCTCATTTAAGGATATCCCTTTCTTTTTCTTTGTTATTTTACTTTTCTATTAATTTTCTACTTTTTTTGAAACTTGCAGACCCAGTGAGTAACATACATTCCTTCTGTCAGGCTGACAGGGCATAGTGCTGCTGTAATTATTCTTTTTTTAAATGGCCACTTTGTTCATTGCTGATTATGAAGCCAGGAAAAGTTGCTGTAAATTCTTGTTTAATTGTGGTTCAGTTTGTGGCAAGTAATACTTGTGACCTTGGCCAAATAATACTAAGTATAATCCTTGGTGTGTGCTTTAATCTGGCTGGTAGGAGGTTATTCTATAATGATTAGATAACAGTTTCAGATGAACAAGTGAAAAAAATGGCAGGCCCACTTAATGAGTTATGTTTGTTTCAATTTCTCAGTGTCAGTTTCAGTCCAAGTGGGACAAATGTATCCACCCAAAAAGAGAGGCAGAGTATCTAAAAACTGTTCTATGAGACAAACATTTTCCAGTATTCAAATCCAATCCCCCCTGACACAAATCTCACCCCAATATCCTATTTAATGTGGAAACATGTCAAACCTTCGAAGAAAACTATGATCTCAAAGCCTTCTCAGGATGGGATCTCTTCTCAAAATAACCCAAAGAGAGAAAGAACAATATTTGGGTGGGGTGGGGGGGGGTTCTTTCAGCTGCCAAGTACACAGTATTGCTGTGCTTTTTCGTGTGCAAGGTTATTTTGACGTTATCGTTTCTATATATTTAGAAATCTGCAGGCAAACGCTTGTCACTGGTAGATGAAGCCTCTTTCCCAATGACAGACAGTATCACACCAGGATTTGTTTTGGGCTCCCTTCATGTTTTGTCAAACTAAGGCAAGGTAGCAGGCGTTTGTCAGACACCTGCTAAGAATTGTAGAATGTGAATAACTTCAAAGCCGTGACATTGGCTCAGTTCAGATTATTAGTGCTTGACAACACTGTTGTCAAGCACTGAGACATCTTTTTTCCCTCCAAAACTGCCTCATCAATCTTTATTTCCTCAAGTTGTTTCCCTAAAAATCTGAAGCCATGGGATAGTGATAGCTCATGCAGGACGCTCTCTTAACATGTTGTGCGGTATTACCGTGCCCCCCGCCACAGCCGCCATCCTCTATCTGTTGGCAGGGCCTGAGAGCTAAATGTCAGTTGCCATTAATGCACACTCAGCATACAATGCACACGCAGTGACTGGCGGAGAACGGCCGGTGAAGTCACTGCTATGGAAGGCAGTTTCTAATATGACAGGTCCCCTGGGAGAAGGCACCTGCAATCACCATGGCAACCTTATCTCCTTCCTGATCCCTCCCACCACCTCAGCAAGAGAAGAGCTGGCAGAGGTGAAGAGGGAGTACTGAAGACTGAGCAGAGATGACAACTTCCACTTCAAAGTTGATGGGATAAAGTTATTTCCCTTTCATGTTGCAACTGGTGAGCGCTGGGGTGAAGTAACTTTGCTTTTTTAATCGCCTTCAGCGAGGGTTAAGAAGTCAGCAGGGATTGAACTCTTATCCTAAGTTGAATTTCCCATCTAAAGTAATATATTTCAGACGTAGGTTGCTTTTCTTGGGACTTTACACAGGGAAATAAAAACATGGGCACTGATTGTCCAGTGTCCAGAAAAATAATAACAGAAACATTGCTCTCTGCTGTAATGAAATGCAATACAGTAACACTGAAATAAATACTAAATGTGTGTACTACCTTTCCTTACTACTCTTTCCTGGGTTTTGCATTGTATTGTGAGTGTAATTGTTAGAAACTCATCTCAATATGATACAATCCAAAAAAAAAACTGTTTTAAAAATTATGTTTAATTTCAGGAATATCTATTACACAGCCATTGTGTGAAAACATTTATTTTAAATTTGTACTGTACTCCTACTGTAGAACAGGTGATGTGATAGGTGTGTGCCTTCCTCATTAGACATCGCAGCGAATTATTTGATGAATATGAGATTAGATGAATATGCAACTGCTGGATATAGTATGTAAATGCATATCAGAGCACAAATTTACATTGAAATTAACCTACATACCATACAAGGTGATGTAATGGCACTATCTGGGCCTTAGCAGCTCTCAACACCAGTTACTAACAGTGATTAATCAATGCTTTTGGATAAATTAACAATTTTAAGGGTCAGGGTCAATACTTCACGTGTCTGACATCTTACTAACAAGCATGTTATGACTTAGAGATCATCCTGTGTACATGTTCTTACTCACTATTGTGGTATTTCACTACTTTAGAGTTCCACCTCTTAAGTGTGATGGGAGTGCAGTGGATGCTGAACACTCAGCGCCTCTGACTGGAGCCACACTCACCTCACATGACACAGTCCCACGGCCGTTTGATCACTCAGCTAGTCACAGTATCCAATGGTGAGCATCTCTTCCTGTGTCCTCACCATCCCTCCGTTTCTCTTCCCTCCATGCGTGCCACCACCTGCTGCTGGCTACCTGCTCAGCAGCATTATGTGGCCAACGGTCCTGTGAATCAGAGTCCGTCAGAGCTGCCAGTGGTCCGAACAACTCCCCACAAGCAAGGACAGCACACACCCACTTTTATACATGGCCACATGCAGTACTCATGAACATATGCGTTTGAATGCAAGCAAGACAAAAGTCATAGAAGCACATAATAAATGTGAAATCTGTGAGTCAGATTTATTAATACGGTAATATCTTATTACACTTCAGTCACGTTTCTGGAC